GCATTCCGTTCGATGTTGGAGTGGGCTCAAGTCTGCAATGCATAGAAAAACACGCCGGTCCATACACAAAAGGCTGTACATTACTGGGTGACGAGCATAATATGCTCGCTGCATTGTGTGATAGAAGAATTCTGGGTCCTGTGGTGCCCTTACCCGAGGCACAAAGAGCATCTGCATGGACACCAGGCATATCATGCCACTGCTTGGGCGCAGATGACGCCGCATGCTTCGCCATGGCGCTCGCTTCATGCGCGACGTTCACAAAGTCTCAAGCTTGTGCTCTTGCCCGCACATATGCCGCAAGCAATTGCAAACTGCATGTTCCGTGACCTTTGTGCTTTGGTGAAGGCATGACCCTGGGCGGCTGTGTGGGTATCTGGTGTCATGCATCCTCCTCGGTCCTTAAAATGTTGAGCAAAGTAGTGCGACAAACATCTATGGAATCTATGGCATTGCCTCGTGTGCTTGAGCATGCTGTGGAACCCAGCTCCTCAAGGTTGAGTCCATTTACCAGCTGAGTCGAGCAAACCTTCCTGCCTAAATCCCGACACAGTAAAATCAGTAAATCCATTGTTCAGTTCAACATGCTTCAGCTACTTAGCTTCCACTTTCCACACATCGTCAGGATCACACCTTGCGCCTGGAGCGCGACTCGCCGCTAGCCTTAATGTGACAAGCCACAAGCGGCAACCACCTTGCCTTCCCTTTTCGTATCTTTCGTCTGCCTGCCCAAGGTTTCATTAAGTTCCACGGGAAAACTCGCAGCACTTAGAACATGGTGCATGTGTGACGAGACAACCCCTCTCTGTACCGGCACAAGACACAGGCTTCCCAATAAAGAAAGAACTGCTCCATCCCTGACCTTAGCCACATGGAGCTCTCGAGAGACTCTCACCTGATGACTTGCCTGTCTTTGCTGCGCTGTTGTGTTGCCTTCAAGGGCAAACAAACATGGACGTAGTTTCCGCAGTCTGCGGACATGATTGAATCCGAAATTGGCAATGCTAAGCCATGAGCGAAGGGCCCACATCAATGCCTATCTGGCATCGGTGTCCTCGTACGAGAAGCTGCAATGGCAGCCTATTTCATCTTGCTTCATAATTAGCTGGCTAGATTAGCCTGCTTAACTGGAACAGTTGCTGGAACATCTGGACTCAATTGTTGTCCCCATGCTCAGACAACTGCCCAGGAATCAACACAGGAGCAAACATAGCTTGTCTTTTGATCATTGTAGGCGCGCGGCGCGACGGCGCGCAGTACTTACATAATCTTACATATCAAGAGCATTGAAAACTGGTCCTTCTCACTTCAAGGTATCACGCAAAACTTGACAAAAAGTTGTCCTGCAGGCTGGGCCAGCTTTGGGCCCAGCTTGAAGTCATAATCTCTAGTCCAAGAGCCCCATGGGGCCGAGGCGCTCCCAAGCAGTTGTGGGAACTACAAAGTGTGGTACATGCGGATTCAGGGGAAGCGATGTGACATCCAGAAACTGAGAAGTCTATAATTGATAGCAGTGGAGAGGCTGGGACATTGACTGAAACATGTCTGGACTGCACACTTCTTTGAGTTTTGCTCTTATCATTTTGTCTGAAGCCCGCGGCCAGCGTGCAGGTCTTGGAAACTTTCTTAGCATCATGATCAGCTGGATGTCTAAGGCGTTCGACAACAGGACACGTCAAAAGTAACGAAACGGAGACCTTTTTGTCACAAGCCCCCCGGACACAAGGCAAAAGAGAAAAAGAATTGCAGGAATCTGCGCTGACTTGACCACGCAGGGCGGGTCTCATCTTTGAATCAGGCAGATGCTAAATCCATCATGGGCATCTACGCAAGGAAATCATGCGTTGTCATTCCTTTGGTTGTACATGTCAGCTACCTGTGTATCCCGCTGAGGAACTGAGAAACCGTTATATATATATATACATATGAACCAGCGGACTCGGCACAAGAACAACAAGCGCATCAATGGTTAAAAGATGTTGAAAGCACATCATGTGGTTTTCCATGCGTGCATGTAGTGCGAATTTGTGGCGACTATCTGGTCTCTGTGTGTGTGCAGACTTGCTCTTGCAGTAATCTGACCGGCTTCTATGCACCCCTTGCCCTTATATACTGCTTGCCTTCGCTCAGCCAACTGTGTGGTGCCAGTACTGACTCGCTTCTCTGGCCCGCCCGATGTGAAAGCCCTCCCGATTTCCAAGGAGGACGACAACAATGAGCATCAAGATGCCCACATGGAAACCAAAGGTCAGCTATGCACAGTCAGGTCCACGGCGAAGAGGGAAACTGGTTTCTGACAAACGGGCTACGCTCAACTTGTGCTATATAAATGGCAGAAACAACACAAACAGGAACCATTGGTTCGTCCATGTTTCTGACAGCCACAACAAGACATGTTCCACGGCATGGCACTGCGAAAGTTGCCTATACCTGTCCCACATGGGTTCGGGCAAAGGCAGCCCGAACAACGCTACAACTGGCCGGGGTCCTCCCAACAGTCTCTTCTGCATAATATAGGGCGCAATAGGATTCTAGGGCCTAGGATCATTGTGGTGACTCCCGTTGCAAGTGTCCACTTCAAAGGTCCATGTAGTTTGGCGCTATCACTGCGGGTCACAAGTGCGTCACACTAGACTTCTCCCGGGCCTGGCCAGCTAGGTCATTGCTCATAGTCTCATAGTAGTTTCTGTCTGGATGGGGTGTGGTGTGTGCGGCGGAGAGGTTTAGCATATGGAACTCCATGCACTTGTTGATCTCCGATCTCTGTGTATGATTCGAAAGGCTGCTGCCTGCACAAATGCGGTAGAGGCTTCCAGCTTGCAGCTGTCACCCCATCCAGCCTGGAACCGCGAATGGTGTCCACGCCGTTTGCGACTGGAGTTCTCAATTTATGGCAAAAGAGACCCCAAGCACTTTCAAAAAATAATCAAGGCAAGCCACCCATAACTCTGCTAGTAACTGCTAGTTAGTTATAGTTAGTTGCGTGGCCTGGTTCATGGCCCTCACATCAACGACATAGGTTGTGCCGGGCCTTGGCAGCTTCGTAACAACCCGAAACTGACGACAACCCGCTGAGACTGATGCGTTTCAGATCCCTTTGAACTTTGGCCATGCAAATTTGTCTCAAGTTTTTAGCCCACTCCGTCCTGCATGCCACGTGTAAATCATGAAAAATGTACAAGCACTTAGTATGCTTTTGGTTGTTGGATGTTTCACTCAGGACCCGACTGTAATCCACTCAAAGAAGCAGAGTGGCCAGTGGTAAGCTGCCTGGACAAGGCCTTGCAGGGGATAGATAACCAAGTAAGTAATCAGAATTCAGCTCACATCTTGGGTGACATGCAACTCACGACTTGGGAACTCGGTCACCGTGCTGCAGCACCATCCGCCAGCCGCACCGAAACCTGAAAGGAGCCAAAGGAGGTGCCTATTTTCGTCACGATCTGAGGTAGGAGCAAGGGCATCGCTACTAGTAGCAAGGGCATCGCTACTAGTAGCAAAGGGCATCGCTACTAGGAGCAAGGACGCTGCTAGGGGCTCCCGGCCTTACTACTAGGAGCATTCTTGCTCTATCTGTTCTCACTTGGGCTCGAACGGCGTAGGCAGTTGATGCTGCACCCAAAGGCTCACCTTTGTCTTCCCAGCTTGAACCACTTATATACTTGCAAAGCTTTGTAGAGCTAATCATCATTGTTTCTCTGTTTTTCTCCTAGAGACCGAAGCTACTGTACCATTGGCGTGTGCCCTCAGGCCGCCACTCCAATTCAAAGTGAACCTGAGCTCCGCACTCCACAACTTGCCCCTTCCCTTCTTGTTCGGATACGTTCGATGGAATGTGCACACTTCAAAGGAGTGTGCGCAGCCCTTTAGTTTTAAAGCCTCAATCTGCCAAACCCCCTTCACAGGTGTATCACAAATGTGAGTACAAATCACACGCTAGAATTTGAGAGGTCCTATGATTTTTGTACCCACAGCACTGAGTAAGGGACCCCGTCTCAGAAACATCTGATAGGTGAGGCAGTTGGATCTCACTGGGCCTGCAATGACAATTTGCCGAAGCTCCCTGAGGCGTACATGGTTGCCATCTTGTTTGTTTGTTACCGTATCTTTATTCCAACTGGATTCAGTCCATTGGCTCGGACGACTTGCTGTCATCCCTTTGATCCAGACTGCACAAAATAGTTGGCCATGGCTCCGGTTATCTTACCTGTGACCTTTCCAGGTGCCCCGACGGCGCGATTACATCCATCCGTAGGCTGAGCTGGGCAAGCTCCTGACCAGAAGCCATGTCCGCGATATCCCACGTGGCCCAACCTTGGAGTTTGACTGACGCCCCTCTCGACCAGCTAAAGCAGAAACTGATGCCGGATACCTTCAAAAAGTGCTTGCACGGCCACTAGGCCAAGCAGGTGCTACCAGCATCAGCCAGTCGCACGTCCACCATCACCTTCCACAAGGGTCTGCCATCTCTCAGGTTTCCACGCGAATGGAGTTCCAGGTCTCGCAGGGGCAGCGGCCGATAGCCTAGAAGCACCTCCCATCCAATCACATCCAGGACTTGATTTCAGAGATTGAATGTGATTGAATTCTGATCCGTCTGGTCTAATGGGCAGGCACATCCTGTGGGAACTCATAGGTCTATGATTCTGATGGTCTATGAGTGGTGGTGTTTTGGGTACCCATCTGGTTTCTACGTGCGGCTAAGGTGGAGCCTCAAACAATGTAAAATGATGTCGCATCTTCAAAGTGTCGATCCGATCCATTCACTGAGTTTCCCACGGTGGATTCGCTCAGCATGGAAGTCTTGCAGCACCAAAGGAAAAGAAGGAAATGTGAATCCAGCCGCTCCTCACAAGCAGGGAGATTCTGACTGAACATATAATGTTACCAATGTAGTGCTAGCGAAGTAGGAACGGTCATGGGGAGAAATGTTCCAGTTTCCGCCCTTTCCTCGGCCAATTTGGCCAACTTAATTTCAATAAAGCAGTTCAGCTCAACAAAGTTCGAAAACGTGCTCAATCAATCCTATGAGAAAAACCACTCGTTGAGGGAGGGAAACTAATGCACTTGTCAGGCCAAGGGCCAAATTGTGCACAAATGCTTTGGCACTCAGCTAGCTATTCACTCTTCTTGGCTGGAAGCAATGACTAAAACCTGCAACTTACGCAGCTTGCATCCTCTTGGTTCCCTGGCGCTGTGCATGTCCATTTGCTCATTGAACTGGATGCACTCCTCTTCATCGTAGGTCTGTGTCCTCGTCTTTGCGAACCATGCACTTTCGCACAGGCACAGGACATGCTGGTAGCACTTTGAGGCATGCTGAGATGGTCTGAGCATGTCTGAACCCATTCCCGTGTCACCCTCACAACATTCGAAAAAGCACCCGGGCGGCCAAGGGCTTGCATCTTATACAATCAAAACCAAGCATCTGAGATGGTTTGGATGGCTGTGAGGTTGAAACCATGTAGTTGGCATTTGGCTGTGGACGAGGCCTCATCGCCACCCAGGCCCGACACTGGTCGGTCTCACATTTCAACGGCAATGAGCAGCCTGAGTCACTGGCGGTTCACGTGGCAAGTGCACCGTGGGCAGTTTCACCTCAGAGGCAGCGCAATGCAGCATGATGGGTGGCCAATGGCCCAAGTTGCAAACAGAGCTGGGGTGGAAGGAGGCAAAGTACCGCGCGGTCTCATACCTCAAAGTCTCCAATTGCATCCAATTGCCTACTCTTGCTCCTCTTGCTCTACCAATGCACCTGAGGACCTCGCCAGGACAGATTCAAGTCCAGCAAAGTTGAGTTCAGCATTAATTCCCCCACTTCCAGGTGGAGAAGGTGCGGTCGTCGAAACCTTCCAAGCAAACTCCAGCGCCAGAATAGTTGCGGCACCCAAGGTTTCTCAATCCAAGAAGGGCATGGAAAACAAATGATGTGTTTCCCCATTGTGCTCCACCTGCCAGTGCACTACATCCCCTGCCTTTGTAACGATGGTGCTGGGGCCTCAGCTAGCTCACACATCATGGCAGGCCCCTGGCCATTCAATGCTTGATGCAATCACGCAAAAGACCGCGGCAGGAGTAGGGTTGTTCCATTCATCAGCCTCAACCGCATCTTTGGGTTTGTTGACGTCCAACCTGGCTCAGAGCAACTGCCTACCAACTAACTGTGTTGACGTCCATGCCTCTTTGATGCTCCTACCTGCATCGTTCTCAGTCTCCATGTGTCAATGAATCAAAAACAGCATTGCAAACAAAATTGGTTCAATAATGGTTCGATGCAAGCTCTGGATGTGGCAGGGTCAGGTTGCAGTCGACGGCGGTATTCTAACCTTGCAAGTTGATCAAAACAAAATTTGCAAACTTGCATTTCGCGGGCGTTGATATACTAAGTTTCCATCCACTGGGCTGCCTCTTGGGTTGCCCAGGCCCGGCCTCCACCATGGGAACTGTGCGCAGCTCTGAAAAATCACCCGCAGGTGCCTGTGAGAGCTATGGAGTCCAACTTGGCCATGGCACGGCTGCGAAGTTTTGGTGTGACATCACCTGTGATAGCACACCTAGTGTTACGGGTTAAGGGGTCCGGTGTTGTGGCCATCATTCGACAAACTAGTGATTAGTTAGTTTCTTTTGAATCTTTTGAGGTGCCATGCGATTGACAATGCACATGCGTGTGCACAACGAAGTCCCTTGTATGCTGCACGTGCCATGTGCAATGCAATGTACCACCACCATGATCCACCATGGCATGCACCAAATGCCTGTGGCTGTTGAATCTCGGGCACACACGGGCATGCATGATCACAACAAGAAAAAACCATAGAACACACAACCACACAAGAACCTGTGCACGTCAATTGACACACACAGTCTTCAAGCACTCAATCAGCCAACCATTCGTGACCGGGAGTAGTACTTGCCTGCCCGGGAGTACTACTCGTGTAAGGGTCACCTCGCGGGAGCCCGCGGGCCCACAGGCTTGCTGCGGGCTCGGCGCGGCTCAGCACGGGCCCGCGGGCTCAGCACGGGCCCGCGGGCTCGGCGCAGGAACGTGCACTCAGGCAGTCTTGGAGGTGGGATTATATATATAATTGAATGCGTGCTCGGTGTGGAGTGTCTAATACCGCGCAATATCAATTGGTGAGTTGCCACCACTATACCTATCAACACCAACGTCCTTTGACTCTTCGAGTTGACCTCACCAGCAAGCGTCCGCCCCCCCCAGAAATGAAGGTTTCTGACTGACTAATTACCTTGCTCTTTTTTTCGGGGTGCAAGGAAAAAACAATCACACCGGCATAGGCCCCAGATAGCGGGTGTGCCGTGGCGTAGCAAGCAACATCTGACATCAGACCAGTCCGCCAACATTTGCAACATCTATCTCCTGAATGCACCCGCTTCGCCCAACACATTCGTTAATCTGCAAGACCGGCAAGGACCAGCCAAAGCTGGTCCTCCGTGGCATGACATGATGTCATTTCTGGCATGACACAATGTCACCCCTGGCATGACAGGATGTCATCCAGGCATGGCGCAAAACGAAACGCCGATCCAGAGCCAGCAGCTGCACCGATCTCAGGACCGCAGCAGCACCCGCAAAACAAAAACGCCGATCCAGAGCCACACCATTAAGAAAGTAGATGGAAATAGACAGAAACGTGCCTTTTTGGCAGGAGTCGCGCGGGCCCGCGGGCCACAAGGTGTTCATGCTAAATGCCTTGCTTTTCAGAAAACAAACGCGGGCCACAACATGAGGTGACATGGCATGGCACCATGCAAAGTAGTGAAGTAACAGAAATAACCACAAGGAGGCAGAATGCAATAACTCAACCCCCCATCGAAACGACAAAGAAAGTCAAATGAACAAGTTTTGGAAAGGCAATTTTTCAAGCAAACGTGGTCGGCTCCCCTGGCGGCAAAATCTGTCTTGCATTTTTGCTCTCCACACCCCTTTTTTAGGCGAGTTGAGGCCCCGGGCGCGGCAGGCAGGGTGAGGGTGAGGAGCGAAGCCAAGAAGGCGCGTTGGGCCGCTGTGAATCAAGGGAAAAGGAGAGTGCCAACAGCGCCCCCCCAATACGACCCCGACACAGCCAACACATGGCAACACACAACCACCCCAGCAACCGCAGCAGCAGTAGCAGCAGCAACAGCCACAACAACAATAACTGCAACCAGCAGCGGCAGCGGCAGCAAGCAGAAGCTACCAAGCAGCAGCAGGAGTAGCTAGCAAGCAGCAGCACCAGCTACCAAGCAGCAGCAGCAGCAGGAGCAGCTACCAACCCAGCAGCAGCAGCTACCAAGCAGCAGCAGCAGCAGCAGCAGCAACAGCTACCAAGCAACAGCAGCATCAGTTAGCAAGCAGCAGAAGCAGCAGTAGCAGAATCAGCAGCAGCCACCAAGCAGCAGCAGCCACCAAGCAGCAGCAGCTACCAAGCAGCAGCAGCCACCAAGCAGCAGCAGCCACCAAGCAGCAGCAGCCACCAAGCAGCAGCAGCAGCCAAGCAGCAGCAGCAGCCAAGCAGCAGCCAAGCAGCAGCCAAGCAGCAGCAGCAAAGCAGCAGCCAAGCAGCAGCA